TGTGTAGAATGTATTTTCAATATATCACAAGAGTTGTTGTACAAGGTTATTTATACATGAGAAGAGAATGCCCTAGAAYAATCTAATTACAGAAAGTTCCTAATCCAGAGCAATCACAATATTGACATTGATGAGAGAATCATAATCGTATCACTAACATATTACCCGTTTTGAATTTTCAAATAAATGCCAAATAATTATTCAATTTTCCCCTGCTTCACTTTAATTTTTTACCTGGTTTTTTAAAAAGTTATGATTTGGTTCCACCATATTTGGATTTTATTTAGAGAAATTTAGAGAAATAGCACAATATTTTTCTTGCCTTTTCCAACTTTTTAGTTAGTCTATGCATACTTGGGTTGGTTTAATTTATCGGTTAAAAAATAAAGGGTTGGCTGCGGTTTTTTTCTTCCAAAAATGCAATTAAACCGATTTTCCCCCTAAACTTTTTTTGTCTTCGTTTTATTACACATAAAATTTGAACAAATCGTAAAATTACATGAACTTTTATCTCTTTAAAATTGACATTTAGCTAATTTCGTAATTAAACAATAACCATGGTTAATGGTTAAGTGAAAGGTAATCGCGTTTGAGTCTCTTCTTTGCCTTTGTAAAACTAGCTAGTCACTATTACAATACACTCGATTATATATTAATTTTAAAACATTTATAGCTAGCTAGTACAAGTTTTCCCTTTCCAATATTATTATTATACATACATATCCTGCTAGTTAGTTAATTTGGATTTCCAACGTCGAGATTCTTGGTGCTTCTAAACCTGTAACGAAAGAGGTACGAGTTAGATCCATAGTAAAAAATGTAAAAGGTTTTAAAAGACAAATTAAAAACAAAAAATCAATAGGGATGAAGAATTGAAAATATTAACTGAGAACAGTCCATAGAAACGGAGACAGGAAAGCTGAGAGAAAGAGAACATTGGAGAGGAAGGTTGTTAATGGCAGTGGGAAGAAAAGGAGGATGATATGCTCTTCCCATTATCTCTATGCATGCACACACTCTCTCTGTCTCTCCACCATTACCCTGGTTGTTCCTCCTTCCCTATATTAATTAATTAGGTGATTAATAGGTAGTGATGGTGAAAGAAAACCGAAAAAATCGAGAAAGAGTAGGTACCGGAGGCGTGAACTGGACGATGTTGTTCAAGTGGGTCACGCCTCGACAGCAATCCGGAGAAGGTTGTCGGAATATTCCCTCGATGAAGCCCATGCACGGCATGAAACTCTCGAACACGTCCCCGCACCTCTCTATCATAAGTTGGGAAACCGCGGTCTTGATCAGGACCAAGAGCGCCACGACCAATATCGTACGATGCATCTTCATTTAACTGAGTACACTAGCGAATTAAAGGTGAGATGGTTCGTGTGTGATTACAAATCTATATATATATACATGGTTATTAGTTGAATGCACATGTAATTCTCATGCTTCCTTCTTATTCGGATTAATTCTAGCCTAGCTAGTTCTCTTTTCAGTTAGATCTTGAATATACTCTTTGCATGTAATATCTTTTATCGCATCGCATGACATGCCATGTGTGAATTGTGATGAGTCTCCATCTAATATATCATTGCCTATAATCTGGTCTCAGTACGTATCGTATGGAGGGTAGAACACTCCTCCAACTAGTTTTCGATTACTATTAATTATTTTGTTTTCAAAATTCGTATAGTAATTTACAACTAAAAATGTAAAATTAACAAGTCTTGACTATTTTATTTAGCACATGAAAAAAGTGTTAGAATCAAAATCCTTTATAAAAAGAAAACGACAAAGGTCCTATTATAAAATTCCAAGTAGTGGTTTGACGAGCTGCGAGTTGGTAGTGGGAAATTAATTTTTC